CTCTGTCTCTCTCTCTCTCTCTCTCTTGTCTTGTCTTGTCTTGTCTTGTCTTCTCTTCTCTTCTCTTCTCTTCTCTTCTCTTCTCTTCTCTTCTCTTCTCTTCGCTTCGCTTCGCTTCGCTTCGCTTCGCTTCGCTTCGCTTCTCTCTCTCTCTCTCTGTCTCTGTCTGTCTCTGTCTCTGTCTCTGTCTCTTTCTTTGTCTCTGCTTTGTCTCTGTCTCTATTTCTTTCTCTCTCATTCTCTTTCTTTCTCTCTCTTTCTCTTTCTCTCTTTCTCTCTGTTTCTCTTTCTGTCTTTCTTTCTCTTTCTCTTTCTTTCTCTCTCCGTGTCTCTGACTCTGTGTCTGTCTCTGTCTTTCTCTTCTTTTTTTCCTTTCTTTTCTTCTTTTCTTTCTTTCTTTCTTTCTTTCTTTCTTTCTTTCTTTCTTTCTTTCTTTCTTTCTTTCTTTCTTTCTTTCTTTCTTTCTTTCTTTCTCTCTCTCCTGAGCTGTCTGCTGAGTACAGCTTTCCCCTTCATCCCTTCATGTGCTTTCACGTTTCCCATGATGTCCTGGTCATGTCCCCTGTCAACTTCTCCTTCCTGTCCCTGTCATTTGCTCGGTACGTCCGCTTCATTTTGCATTTGTGTCCCGTTCTTTCGTTGCCAGTCATTTTTTGCTCCCCAGTATTTCCTGCAAAAAACACTGTTTTTCCAGCGTTTTCACAAAGACGCTAAAAACACAGTTTTTCCAGATTTTCGTCTTTGGAGGCAGGAAACCGCAACCGGGATTCGAGGCTCCCCGAAGACTACGTTTAGTGACGTCGTCAATCCACCGCGCGGTACGTGGGGGACCCCCCCCCAACCCTACGTACCAAACGTCGGGGGGGGGTCCTCCATTCTTTTAGGTATCCGACACGCCTCCACAATGTCGGCGGATTTCCCAATAGTGGCCGAAGTCTGGCGTTGGTGGTGGCGCGCCTTTGTCCAACTGCTTGAGAAAATGGTGCATATTATTCCGGCGGGCGCAGTTCGAAGAAAGCCTCTGCCTGTTCTATCTTGCTGTGTTGTTTCCGAAGGACAAGACAAGTGCTGTGTTTGTCCTGATGCTGCTGATGAACCACCGTCTACTAGCGCTTTACCGCCTGTTCCAACCTGGCGCTTTTCTAGCTACGAAGATTTGACTGTGGGGCAGCGAGCGCGCTGTCGCACGGCCTCTCAGCACGAGTGTAGCTCGAAGCTTCAGTGCGTGTGCGGCGTAACATTGAGTTGCCATGTTAGCTCTCTAAGGTTTACGAAGAAATTGCACGTGGACGGGACACTTAACAGATACATGAAAGGGCTCATGTCTGGAAGTGAGACAATGACTGCGGTTATTTTGCATTACTTTGGCTGAAGATGCGGCGCGCTGCGTGTGTGATGTTGCAGGGAGTGGCCAAGTTTTTCACGTGCTGAGGTTCAGCGCATGAATGCGGACTTCCTGCGTCAAAGTCGCAAAAAAGACATTCGCCCACTCAGAAGCTTCTGCAAAGTCTCTCGCGGGCCGTGGTCTTTTTTTTGCGACCTTGATGCTGGTCTTGAGCGAGGCAACTGTGTAGAACCATTGATTGTTGCCGCAGATAAAAACAAACCCGAAACGTCGGAAAGCTGCTCAGAAATTCCTTGAATCAATCCGCGATGAGGTGTGTTGTCAAATGGCAATGATGGCGGACGCGGCCCGCGAGGAGATTCAGCTCTTGAGTTCTTTGATAGAAGCCGCATGAAAATCAGTGAGGCGCCATGGCCTTCACCTAAAAACTGCACATTCTGCAGAAGATGGCACAATTTCCTGTGGTCTAAGCCAGTGATAACTTTCAGCACCAACCCCAGGATGTTGATCGAAGTGGCTGGAAAGGCCTCGGCTGATTCAACTGGGCGCCCGACACAGGAGTGCGGGGGCAGTGTTTTGCCTGTCGTTCTGAACAGGTGCTTTGCAAGGATGGCGGCCTGGCTCGCCATGGTGAGGAAACAAGAGTTTCCGGATATTGAATCAATCCACAACTTGTCTGTCTTTTCCCTAAAACAGCGTTGCGGAAACACAGCGCTGCCGCACGCGACTCTCCTAAATGTGCGCCGACGTGAACGCTCGCCAGCGCTATGAACAGTTCCAAGACTTGCAGCCTACTGCCCTTCGCCGCCGTCCGGTTCCTAGCTACTCTTTGACACACTTGGCATGCCCCTTTAGCGTTTTCTCTGCCCAGGCAAAGATTTTCAGAGTCGGAAGCCTTGGTTGGTTTGACAGCCTGGGCCTTGGCGGCCTCCAGTTTCAGTTGCCGCTGCCCGGACATGAAGAAAGCGTCTGCGGCTGGAACTGCGATGAACGAACGGGCTTTGCTGATCTCAAGTATCACACTAGGCGCGACAGAGAATTCCTAGTCTTTTTTTAAAGCTTTGGCTTCCTTCGCAAACGTGACTGAGCGAGTCAGTGGGAGGGAGGAGTGAGTGAGGGAGCGAGGGCGTGAGGGAGTAAGGGGGTGAGGGGACGAGGGAGCGCGGGAGCGGGGTGAGTGTCGGTGCCTCGGTTCTTTTGCTCTGCAACTGCAAGATCATGTCCATTGGCAAGCCCGTGTTCAATGTTCACCCTGAAGACCGTGGAGACGAAAACTTCCGAAGAAGCGAAAGCGGAAGAACGTTTGTGAAAGTAGCAAAACGCGAAGGTGTTCGCCGAGGAGAAGTTCAACCAAGGTGAAGAGCGGATGAAATGCGTGACGGCGGCAGGTTCATTGGTGGCGAGGCGATGGACGTGATTGACACCCAGGGCTATGCTGTTGCCTTCTTTGCAAAGCAGGGCGGAAGCGTTATCGGCTTCCTCAATGTCTCTCGGCTGCCGCGCACTGACGACTGACCCAATGAAAAACACACGCAACTTGTTGCCAAAGTCGATGTCCCTCCAGTGGAAAGTCACATACCTGCAGCGCTTGTGATTAAAGGCAAAGCCAATAATACAGTACAATGATGTCCCAGACCGGCATGAGACCGTCCGCCTTGTAGTGGCACAAGTGCGCGCGTTGATTCGCAACGCTTTCGCCGCAAGGCTCAACTTGTATAGGTTGTGTTGTCCAATAAGGCGATGATATTTGGCTTCTATCTGGTCGAACAATACATCAGCTGACGCAGCGCCCCATTCTTGAACTATTTCTGAAACGACAACCTCCTTGCGCGTTGGGAGTAGAACAACACCATCGTCCCTCCGATTTAACGGCATCTTCGTTTGCGCAGCGCTGCAGTAGTTGAACCACAATCCCCCAGTCGGGCGGTACTTCTCTATGACTTCAGTGCTTTCGTTCCTCTTGAATGGTTCAATAGGGATAGAACGCTTGAGCGATAAACCCGGAAATGTGCGCCGACGTGAATTGCATGGTAGGAAGAAGTCCGTGAGTTCCCCTGTCCGTCATCGAAGAAACTAGCGAGTCAGCAGACAAGGGAGGGGCTTGACAAGGATTGCCCGCTGAGGGCTGCCAAGTTAGATGAGCCTGGAAACAGCGGAAGCTATTCGTTCTGCCTTTCCTCGTTTCAATATTCGCTGGCGCTGCGCAATGGAGTACTTTGGATGCATATACATTTGCATGGGTTTACTCAGTGGTGGATGAATGGAACGGGGTGGACAAGCGCCCTGCTACCGTGGATCTCTTAAAACTATCGTTCAGTGCTTTGAGAGCGCGACATGCGTTTCCATGTTACGGTCTTGCGTTTCCATTAAAGGTAGGCTTCGCGTGCAGCTTTCCAGCATTCCAGTTATTTGCGAGGTGTTATTACCCTTTTTGTGATACGACTACGATCATGTCCTGCGTGCAGGCCACTGATGATGCGCAGTGATTGTTTATTATTTGCAGCGGCGAGGTGTTATCCTCGGTCAATGTTGTACCCAATATTATAGCCAGACGGATTTACTATATTTCAGTGACGGTCGGGTGGAATACCCAACGCTTCTGGATACTGGGAAAGAACAGTGGATGCATTTCTTTCCATTGATTCCAGCCCGTTACGATGTGTCTCACGTAAATGGATCGTTGGATGTGTTTCAGATACAGATCAAAAAATGGCCCTGGAGCAAATGAACGTGGCCATGATGAGCGACCAATTCTATTGCTTTGTGACTTGCAGCCACATCACGAGCCTCTGTTTGCAACGGGGGATGTGTCAATTCAGAGAAGCATCCTGGTTACCGAGTCCAGCTACCTTACATGGTTGTTCCTCCTGCCAACTTTTAATGTGTTTTTTCAAGTGGCTATACCGAAGAAACGTACGGTGATCAGAGCTTTCTAACACGTTGGGCAAAATAGGAGTTCAGCCCATGTTTATTAAACATATCATGACACTTTGCAAACTTATGTTGTACATTTTGTAGAACCGTTTTCGAAATGTGTAAAAAAGCCTCATTTTTTATCTGTAAACGTTCATGTTCAAGTTTTGACACATGTTTGTTTATGGCAGTGACAATAGGCTAAAAAGCGTGCGGGGGGGGGGGGACAAATATGCGACGCGCGCCCTTCCCTAATTAGGTGCCGCGGCAGTCTCGCGAGTGCATCCCAAACGCAAGACCTGAACTGGAACCCATGGGGACCACTTCGACGCTCTGTCACTCTCGCGGTTTTCTCGCCCCTTTCCCACGGTTGATCGCTTTCGCTCTCCTGGAGCCCCTGAACAACGGAGGAGCGTCCTATGTCTATCACAAGTGTTGACCAGCATGTCCAGCGATCATGATACTCTGGCACCACCACGGCTGCGGGAACTGTGCCCCATCTGTACTACAAACGGCGTCAAGTCTGGGCTTGGGAGCAAATGTGGTTTTGAACTTGGCTTTGGTTTCTCGCGTACGGTGTTGCAGGTTTCATTGGGACCCAGGGTTGGCGTTGCGGAAGGGTGAGGGACTGCAAAGAACGTCATGAGAGCGGGGCAGAAAAAATCCGAGAAAAGGAGTTTGCGCCTGAGACAGGCTCCAATGTGTGTTTGCCCCTCTGGGAATCACATTTTGCCTTTTACAGGAGAGAGCCGAGCTCGCGCCTCGATCTTGAAGCGCGGAGCGCCAGAGGGCGGCGAAGTTACCTTTAGCACTCGAGTCGCCTGCTCGCTGGGGGACTTGCAAGGTTAGAGGTAAGGCCTGGCGCAAGCGGCTCACTCGCAGACCAAGAAAACGGTTTGAGCGCTTGACGCATTTTCGAGTATCAGACGCAGGTGGTCAAACTTTCGTTTTGTTTCTTTTTACCCTGGCCGTTCTGCCGGTTGAGGGAGGCAAAAATGCAAGCCGAGTCGTCGCGCGCTTGAGCATCCCAGGCCACCAAGCCAGTGGAACTTCTGAACGAGGGCAAGGCCGGTGCCCCTGTCTTCACCTGTCAAATGTTGCCAGGGCTTTACCCGGTGCTTGGTGCCAGGGTAAAGCGAGCGCGGGGCGTGGCCTGCCCAAGTTAGCCCGCAGGCACGTAGCCCAATGTTTTTTTTCGCTTCGGGCCTTTTGCTCCATGACTTCCAGCACCCCGCTCTCCCCGCTCGCCCTGTCCGAGTTCTCCGCACGCATGGTCGACGCTGCGCGGGGGACCCTCAACGACTTCCTGCCAGATGTCTGGGTCTACACGGACCACTGCAAGGCGAGTCATCTTCTTGGCTCAAAGCAGAGTGCGCCCGTCAATTCCAAAGCAATCAGGGGCAGGCCTGTCGTTTGCTGGCTATGGTCGCTTCAGTGGCAAAAACTTAGCCCGGCTAAGACATCTCCTTGGTGGCGAAAAACGTTGCCCAGAGTCCCGGTGCTGTAGACAGTGTGGGCGACCAGAGTACGCCTTGCGCTTCAAAGGTTTGCGAGTTGCAGGGCTTGGGTCGGCGCGTTTTTGCATTAGCCCGAACAGTTGCAGCATGTTTCTGTGTGCCGCGTGCCTGCAACTAATTCGATTCTTGGATTCATGTTGCCCTGTAAGGTCATCGGATGCATCTGCTGGCATCGGTGCGGAAGCTGATGTGGATGAGGAGATGCTGTGATTGATTCATTTCAACCAGAGTTTTAGGATAAGGGGAGCCACATGATGCGACGCGTGGAAATGCCTGAGCTGTTGGGGAGCAGGTCATCAAAGGATTCGCAGGAATTCGTGGCAATAAAGGCTTACACACTTCTTGGAGAAGAAGCTACAGAGTTGCGAAAAAGGTTTCATTGCAAAGATTCACTTTGTGGCGCATTTTCTGGAAACTGGTGTGGGTTGCAAGGCAGCCTGGCGTCTCCTGGCAGAGGAGGCGGGCTTGCGTGCTGCGAACGCCTGCAAGCTGCAAAGGCGATTTGATTTTGACGTCAGAGCGGTTCGCATAGCCTTTTCGTGCGTCGTGCGCAGATCGACCTTGACGGAGTGGCACCTCCGCCAGAGCTTATTCCCGAATGCGTAGCGAAGGGTTCCCGTTTATAAGTGGGGGTCTGGGGGTGGAGGACGTGTTCGCAAGGAGTTGCTCCAGAGTCGCAGCCGTGCGCAGCCATCCGCAACCGTTCGCGGTGAGGCGATAAGCGTGTGCCATTGGGGTTCGTCGTGGAAGCGTGTTTTTGATGGATCGTCAAGTGCTGTTTTCATTGGCCCTGTGCGCGAATCGTAGCTTCTCAAGCTCGACGTGTCGTTTCGCGCGCTGCGTGTTCTCGTTGCCGTGCCAGTGAGATTTACGATCCAGGGGTGGTCGCTTTGATGTCCTGCTTGGCAGGCGCGTGATGGTGTTTGCGCCGGCGCCGTTTTTGTTGGCCCTGTCGTACATTTGCTCGCTTTTGGCGGGCCTGACACATGTCAAAATTGGTCGAAATCATTCTGGCGCCACAGTCCCGTGCTAGTTTTGGATGCGTGCCCTAAACGTGTCAAAGTTGGATTTCGTGGCAGGTCCAGCACTTTGGATGACAGGCGCAGCAGTTTCGAGCGTTTTGGTTGAATTTCGTGGCAGGCGCGGCACTTTGGAGCTTGTCGTACAGATTTCGTTGCAGGCGCAGAACTTTGCTGCCTGGGTGTGCAGGCACGTCACGTTGACTCAGCGAGATCGCTCTGGCTGTGGCACGGTGCGCATTTTGCGAGCGCAAAGCGAACCCTCTGCGCGCTCAAGTCGCTCTCGCTGTGGCCCGGCGCGCTCTCGCTGTGGCGCAGTGCGCATTTTGAGAACGCGAAGCGAACCCTCTGCTCACTTTGGGTGGGTCAAATCGCTCTCGCTGTGGCGCAGTGCGCATTTTGAGCATGCGATGTGAACCCTCTGCGCACATTGGGAGTCGAATCGCTCTCGCCGTGGCGCGGTGCACATTTTGAGCGCGCAAAGTGAATCCTCTGCGCACTTTGGGTGGCTCGAATCGCTCTCTCGCTGTCGCGCCGTGCGCGTTTGGAGACAGAAGTGTCGTTCAGAAGTGCCGTTCACAAGTTTCCATTAGAAGTGTCGTTCAGAAGTGTCGATTAGAAGTGTCGTTCAGAAGTGTCAACCAAAAGTGTCGCTCAGAAGTATCGGTCGGAAGTGTCGACAGATTTGTTGCTCGGAAGTGTCGATCAGAAGTGTTGCTCAGAAGTGTTGCTCAGAAGTGTCGATCAGAAGTGTCGAACAGAAGTGTTGCTCAGAAGTGTTGCTCAGACGTGTCCCTCAGAAATGTTGTCAGAAGTGTGGATCAGAAGTGTTGCTCAGAACTAGACTGTTGATCAGATCAGAAGTGTGGATCAGACGTGTTGCTCAGAAGTGTTGCTCAGAACTGTCGATGAGAAGTATGGATCAGAAGTGCTGCTCATCAGTGTCAATCAGAAGTGTGGTTCAGCAGTGTTGCTCAAACTGTCGATCAGAAGTGTCAATCAGAAGCGCGGACCAAAATAAGTGTTGCTCAGAAGTGTCGATCAGAAAAAGTGTCGCTCAGAAGTGTTGCTCAGAAGTGTTGATCAGAAAAATGTGGTTCAGAAGTGTTGATCAGGTGTCGCTCAAAACTGTCGCTCAGAAGTGTCAATCAGAAGTGTTGCTCAGAAGTGTTGCTCAGAAGTGTCGCTCAGAAGCGTCGATGAGCAGTGTGGATCAAAAGTGTTGGTCAGAAGTGTTGCTCATCAGTGTCAGTCAGAAGTGTGGTTCAGCAGTATTGCTCAAACTGTCGATCAGAAGTGTCAAGCAGAAGTGCAGATCAAAAGTGTTGCTCAAAAGTGTCGATCACAAGTGTTGCTCACAAAAGTCGATCAGAAGTGTGCATCAGAAGTGTTGCTCAGAAACGTCGATCAGAATAAGTGTCGCTCAGAAGTGGTGCTCAGAAGTGTCGATCAGAAAAAGTGTGGTTCAGAAGTGTTGGTCAGGTGTCGCTCAAAAGTGTCGCTCAGAAGTGTCAATCAGAAGTGTTTCTCAGAAAAGTCGATCAGAAAAAGTGTCGCTCAGAAGTGTCAATGAGAAGTGTGGGTCGCAAGTGTTGCTCAGAAGTGTTGATGAGAAGGGTTCCTCAAAAGTGTCGGTCAGAAGTGTCGCTCAGAAGTGTCAATTCAGCGGTGTTGCTCAGAAGTGTCGTTCAGAAGTGTCGATGAGCAGTGTGGATCAGAAGTGTTGGTCAGAAGTGTTGCTCAGAACTGTCGATGAGAAATTTGGATCAGAAGTGTTTGCTCATTAGTGTCAATCAGACATGTGGTTCAGCAGTGTTGCTCCAACTGTCGATCAGACGTGTCAGTCAGAAGTGCGGATCAAAAGTGTTGCTCAGAAGTGTCGGTCAGAAGTGTTGCTCAGAAACGTCGATCAGAATAAGTGTCGCTCAGAAGTGTTGCTCAGAAGTGTCGATCAGAAAAAGTGTGGTTCAGAAGTGTTCATCAGGTGTCGAAGTGTCAATCAGAAGTGTTGCTCGGAGAAGTCGAGCAGAACAAGTGTCGCTCAGAAGTGTTGCTCAGAAGTGTCGTTCAGAAAAAGTGCGGTTCAGAAGTGTTGATCAAGTGTCGCTCAAAGGTGTCGCTCAGAAGTGTCAATCAGAAGTTGTGCTCAGACGTGTCGCTCAGAAGTCTAGTACGCGCTGGAAAATCGCAACTTTGAAGTGCAAGTCTAGTGCACGAAGTACAGGTGTCCAGCTCCAGCTCGAGAATCGCAACTTTGTAGTACCAGTCTAGAGGCTTCCAGCTCCAGCTGGAAAATCGCGACTTTGTAGTACAAGTCTAGTACGCGAAGCACAGGTACGCGAAGTCCAGCTCTAGCTGGAAATCACAACCTTGTAGTACAAGCCTAGCGCACGAACGAAGTACAGGTTTCCAGCTCTAGCTGGAAAATCGTAACTTTGACAAGTCTAGTACGCAAAGTACGGGTTTCCAGCTCCAGCTGGAAAATCACGACTTTGTTGTACAAGTCTAGTACGCGAAGTACAGGCTTCTCTAGCTCTAGCTGGAAGTCTAGTACGCGAAGTACAGGGTTCTAGCTCTAGCTGGAAAATCGCGACTTTGTAGCACAAGTCTAGTGCGCGAAGTGCAGGTTTCCAGCTCCAGCTGCAAAATCGCGACCTTGTTGTACAAGTCTAGCACGCGAAGTACAGGTTGCTGGAATATCACAACTTTGAAGTGCAAGTCTAGTGCGCGAAGTACAGGTTTCCAGCTCCAGCTCGGAAATCGCAACTTTGTAGTACCAGTCTAACGCGCGAAGTTGAGGCTTCCAGCTCCAGCTGGAAAATCTCGACTTTGTAGTACAAGTCTAGTACGTCCAGCTCTAGCTGGAAGTCACAACCTTGTAGCACAAGCCTACGTACAGGTTTCCAGCTCTAGCTGGAAAATCGCAACTTTGACAAGTCTAGTACGCAAAGTACGGGTTTCCAGCTCTAGCTGGAGAATCGCAACTTTGAAGTACAAGTCTAGAGCGCGAAGTGTGCAGGTTTCCAGCACTAGCTGGAAAGTCACAGCTTTGTAGCGCAAGTATAGTACTTGAAGTACAAGTTTCCAGCGGCTGGAAAATCGCAACTTTGAAGTGCAAGTATAGTACTTGAAGTACAAGTTTCCAGCTCTGGCTGGAAGATCGCAACTTTGAAGTGCAAGTCTAGTACGCAAAGTACAGGTTTTCAGCTCTAGCTGGACAATCTCAGCTGTGTAGCGCAAGTCTAGCGCGCGAAGTACCAGCTCCGGCTGGAAAATCGCAACTTTGTAGTACAAGTCTAGCGCGCGAAGCGCAGGCGTCCAGCTCCACATTAAAAATCGTAGCTTTATAGCAACAAGTGGATCACGCAAAGTACAGTTTTACAAGCTGAAAAACATAGTTTGCGCAGTAGGCTTGATTGCGAGCCCCGTTGGCTTATAACGAAAAATGTTCTCTCTAATGATTTTCTTGGGTTTGCGCAAAGTGATGTGCATTCGGGTTCGTGGGCTGTGTTTTTTTTTCCTCGGTGCCGAGGGAGTCCAATTTAGGACTAGATTGCTTAGCGTGGGAAAGGCCACAACCACAACTGTTCAACTTCTAGCCACTCCTGCCAAAGTTTGCTTCCCGTCTGTTGGTGCGATGTTTTCCTCAGAATCATTGCAGTGGGACCTGGCCCGGCATCCCGTGATATGTTTCTTGAGGGAGTGTTTTGGTCATGCCGCTGACTTCATTGTTCTGTTCAAAGATGGATCCTCGCCATGGGCTGATGTGACCTCTGCGAGAATGCCAGCCCGTGGCTGAGAATGTCAGGAGCGTGTCAGAGTTCCGTCTATGGGCCCGAGGCAGCCTTTGAGCCGACAATGGTGGTGCCAGGCTTGCGTCGATGAGACAATCCGCACGCTTGCATTGGTCGTGCGCGAACTTAGAGAGGAGAGACCGTGCAAGGTGATGCTGATCCAGCGGCGCCTGTCAGCCCAAGGACTCAGAGAATTGTAACTGTTGGCTCACACGTTACGGTGCGGTGCAGGAGGGAATCCTTGCATCAAAAAGAAAGAGGTTCAGTAATCGCATCGGTGACCTCAGCGGACAGACAGGCGGAGGCAAGACAAAGGTTCGGGGCTTAGCATTTTTTCTGCAATCCACAGAGTCTACTCAGTTCGGGACTCAATCGACAGAGTCGCAATCCACAGAGTTGGACTGAGGAAGCCTGGTGTCACGGGGGCCATTGCCCACGTGAGAGGAGCCCTGGCTTCCAGCAGCCGGCAGCTTGGAGAATGGGGTTTTGCTGCAATTTTACTTTAGGTCTTGAACTTGCCACTCAAAGACAAGAGAAGACTCTGACGGACTCCAGACTCTTCCACTTGCATTCAAGCCATAAACAGGTCACCTTTCGTGTTGAGAGCTTAGCCATGGATCCCGATTCTAGGCCGACCTAGCTAAGAGCTACGTGTGCGCACTGCCACCAAACATTCGGTGCACTGGAGCAAAGCCAATCCTGGCCTTCAGACTTCAGACAGCTGGAGCGGTCAAGACTTTTTTTTGATCGGCAGGTTGG